TCAGTTCTATCTGAAAAATCGGCACGTTGACTGATTGACACCAAACGGAAAATGGGTGATGCTGTTGGGTTTCGCAACCCCTTTTAAGATTACAAAAACAGAGTGTGAATAATTTATGTCAAAAAACTGTTTGCTAAAATGACGTCGAAAAATGTGATGGATAAAGTGTTACTCTCAAGATGTTAGGCACAAGTAAAAGCTGGACGAAAAAAGAATTTGGAGGAAAATATTCCTTTCAAGTCAGAAGTAGCTCAGATGTAAACACAAGAAACGATGAAATAAGAAAGCGTAAAGAATGAGTAAAGCAAAAAATGTTCAGAAAGAAAAGTGCAAAAAAAATTTTTTTGTTAAAAATTCACTTGCGCTGCAATTCTGTTTCGAATATCCTTAAGGTTCATTGTGCGCATTAACTTCCAGAGGAGATTACGGCATAAAAGTAAATTACCAGTTAATTAGGGTGAAAAATATTCATTTTTTTAGGAGCAGGGCAAGCTCAGAAGTGCACTTGAATAGTGCACACTTATGATGTAAAACGTGGCGGCTGCGGCTCTGACTATGATGGCGGTAATGTCGTTGGAGTTTATAAGTAGAGTTGTCGGTGAATGTGTGTGACTGCTGATACTGTTGATGACGTTGATGACGTTGATGTCAACTGAGCCGAAATCCAGGCAGATATTTCTCACTTCCTCTTTCCACGAAGCTTATATCATTGCTTGCCATTATGTACCGTTTTTGGTGCTTACTTAAACTCAGCTCAAAGTAGGAAATTTCCAAACACTAGTACTATGTATTTTAATTTAAGATTACAACAGATCGTATTCCGGACATTATACGAGTATGCCTCAATAAATTAATGGAAATAAATTAGAATGGTTTTATAAAATGCTGTACTTTGAAAGAATAACTCAAGAGTACTTCTCAAGTGATTTAGTGATGAAATTATCAAATAAAACAAAAGAGTTATGAAAAGCGCGTTCTAGAATATACGAGTATAAGTGAGCCCAGTTTTGTAGAGAATCAAAGGGTTCTAAGCAATTTCATTTGATCCTTATTATATTTTGAAGTTGGTCTCCGAATAATTATGATTAATGCCTCCAAAAAATAAATGAAATTGTATGTTGAACGTACCCTATATACAGGGTGTTAAAGAAAATACTTCAAGGAAAAAAATTTCATCCAAATAATATTCAATAAATTAGAAAACTATTATTAAAATAGCTTTATCGTATTGCCAAAGTGTTGACCTGTAAGAAGGCAAGCAGTCAAAGCATCAAAGCAGTCACAGGTAATGACAGGTAAGGACAGGTAATGAAATTAACTGGGTGCATTATGCTTGAACTACAACCAAGCTGGTGTCTGAAAAGTGTTTTGAATTAATTGAAATCATATTTAAGTATATTTAAGTGATATTAAATCATTATATTATAAATTATGCACTTCTAGCTGTGATGTTCATAAAATAATTTTTTACAATATTACTTTTTCTTCAATAATAATTTTATTCATTTTCTCTGGTATGTACTTTAAGTATAGTTCCGGTCTGACCTTCCTTAACAACAACAACAACAACAACAATGGCAGTGATTGAAAGCTTTTAAGGATGTAATTCAGTTTGAAATTGGTTTTTCTGTTTAGATGCAATTACGTCCATAAAAGCTTAAGTGGCATAAAATATCACGTTACTCGTCTGCGTTGCAAAAGTGCATTTCCCGCAAAACCGGCATAAAAATGCATTAAATTGAAAATTGATATTTAATGCATATAAAATATGATTTATTGTCTTGAATATTTTTATTGTTGAGATTTTTATAACTTTTTATTGACATTTTATGACCTCATTTGCGAATTCTTGTTTTAAATTTATTTTTGCTGCTATTATTATTTCGCCATTTATGCCATTTTTATAGCCATTTTTATGTTGCCACCGCTACGTATGAAAAGTCCATTAGAATCACTGTGGCACATGTAGCTTTGTGCCACAGTGCTGGCGTGAGTGTGTGGCCCCATTCAATTACCATGTGTGGCACAATTCAAGAGCACTGATACGCTCCTACATATGTGTATTCATACAAGCACATGCACGCCGCGCTGCACTGCTAACTGCTACATGCAATGTAAATGTCAGGTAAATGCGCATAATAATTTCAAATAAATTTAATGCTTCTTCCTATTTTCTCCATGAAGCTCTTAGCAAATCACATTTTCATATGCCATATCCCGCTCAGCACCACATCCCGCGTTCGTATAGTTACAGAGCATAGTTGCGGAGCCGCACCTTTTATTGGTAACTACAAAGGCATGCAGTAAGCGGCGCTGAGGTCGCCAGCACGGGCTGCCACACAATATTATACTAACTGCAGCGTGTGCTGTTTACTGCTCACAGCTCACTGCTTACATATTGCACAAACGGTGCGCTGCAAGCCGGAGAACGGCAACGACTGCAGCAATTGCCACAAATGCACCAATGCACCAATGCGCCACAGACTTACGGCGTCGCCATCATTGTATCCTAACATTTCAGGTATATTATGTTGGTCATGCTTCCTCGAACCTCGTATGCTTTTAATGCACTTGGGTTTCTTGTATTTGTACTTAGCAGCAATTGTGTGTTCCATAGAAGTATTGTCGATTTGAACGCAATGAATTGTATTTGTAGTTTATCAGAGGTCCTTCATAAAATGGCTTATGAATGTAAAATATTACACGAAATCGTATGCAAAATCGGTGTAGCTCAAAGATATTAATCATTGGATTTATACGAATATTTTGTGACTAATATGATTACTTCCTTCCATTTTATCATATATTTTAATTTTGTCTATCTGCATTTGCTTTCCTATCCAGTCATTTTTTTATTTTTATATTTTTACTTGTTTTGCCATAGTTTTCTACTTGAAGATCAGAAAGTAAATATATTTGGAATGCAAGTAAGTTGTAGTCATTTAAACATTCTTCACGACGCACTTCAAAACCATTAATTATCAACATACTTAACCTTACTCTTACTCTTGCATTTGAGAAGATACCCAAATCAGTGTATTTTGACTGCATCATTACGAAGCATGACGAGTTCCTTTAGTTACGTTTAGTTTCGAAATGCTTTAGAGATAGGTTTAGCGAGATCATTGAAGGAGATTGAAGTAAGTTTCAGAAGCCGTTATAGCTTCTGAGTTTTCGTATTTTATCCTAATGCAACTCATCATTAAAAAGGTTTACCGTCAAAACCCAAACTACAGTAGTTCCTTGAGTTCATATCTAATGTTTACTTGATCACATATGTCATCATCTGAAATTCAAATTGGAAATATATTTAATTAACTCAAACGTCTGACTACTCGTACTTGCAAATAATTGCTTTATGTAAATAGAGTCCATGTATTTTTTAATTGTGCTTTAGTCGTTTCTTCCTTAAAAGTATCTTAAATTAGTCACATCGTTGTTAAGAGTTAAGCCTCGAGTTTGTAGGTATTGCTTTATAAGATGCACTATAAGATCAAGCAGAACTATATCGCTTTCTTTTGCAATTGGACTCTTTAACTAACGCAATTCCATATGTCTGATTTTCAAAGTGATTGTTCAGCTATAGCTCCGCTTAGTGACTATGTGCAGAAACTATTTCGAAATATCTGAGTTAGTCACATCTTTAAGAGTTAAGCCTCGAGTTTGTAGGTATTGCTATATAAGACGCACTTCTTCAAGCAGAACTGCATGAAGTTATAGATAACAGATGCACATAATATCGCTGACAACATAAAACAGATGCTATTGTATATCACACTTCTATCGATGAATAGCGTTAGAATTAGCTCGAGGTTATATAAATGAATAGAAAAGTACTGATTAATGGAGTAAGCTCAAAAAAATGCTTGTCTGGATTGAGAGTTGGTAGTTAAAAAATCAAGAATAAATGAAATGAAAGAATTTATTTGATCAGACAGAACTCGGAATCTTATTTTTTTGGTGGGTTTATTGGTAAATTTATTCACTTTAAACCAGCATTTCCAGCAAATTTTCAAATGTTTCCGTTTTTTGAGGCGTTTGAGGTGTATGTTTGACATGTAATGTATATAAAAATTCTATCTGTGATATTTGCAACCATATAAGTAAAATCACACTTCTTTTCTCCCAATATCTGTGCACATCTGTAAAGAAAAATTATTGTTACAGACACGAATAGGTATTTTAACGTACAACGAATAAATAAACTTTACCTTAAAAAAATTAATTTTTTTTATTTTAATTGTGTGAAGTTAGTGTGAAGATTGTAATTCTCTTAGTCATTATTTTCGGCGGGAAAATACATTTCCGCAATGATGATTTGTGGATTTCTGGCATCAAAGGCCTAAGTTGTGTGTTGGATGTGGTCGTCAAAATCTAGTTTAGTTTATAGCTTTTTGCTGCAATTGAATCTGAAAACTGCTATTGACGGAAATGCACATTATTCTGGTTCCCGTTACTTTTTGAACCATAATTGAAAGGCAAACTTAAATTTCTCGAATTCGCGATAAGCAAAATACTTACATTTTAATTTTAGCTATTTAAAAAATATATATTAGTTACAGTAATAGAATAATTGGAGTGTCATTTTATTAGGAAAGGTTGTAAATAAGGTCAGTTATTGCTTAGTCTGATGAAGTGATAAACAATAATCCAGTCAAAGCGTAGAGATGGGTTATGAAGAAACTTCGCAGTTAGTAGAAAGTGAAAGTGCTGAAGTGCACTGCCTCAACTGGCCTCAACTGGCCAGAATTCTTCGAATTCGAATTGTTATATTTAGTATTCACAAGAAAAGTCCTAGTAATTGTCTTATAAATGTTTTATAATTAAATTGTAAATTACAATTTTTTTTCTTCTTCTAATCGTCGAGGTGAGAGGTTCACTAAAATGCTTAAGACACTAGGATTGCTCAATGGATTTAATATACTAACCTCACTGAGTTGTTCTTTCGAAATTGAATTTTGCACTAATTCGAATAAGGATATTTAAATTGTTTTACTCACTGGTTCAAAATAAATATTAGAGTCCTCTTTGTACATCACGTAGCGCTTGAATACTGCATTTCTGAAGTTATACTGCATTGAATACATTGCTTTTGTTAATTTTGAAAATTTGTCCATATTTGCAAAAATTATAAAAAATATAATAAAATTTAAATCAATAATAAATGCTTAACAATTTCGTTGAAATATTTTCAACTTCGTGATTTGAGCTTAAATTTTTAATAAATTTCAAAATGTTCAATGCCTTCTTTTGATTTATTTTTATACTAACACTTGAAAGAATCTGATAATATATTTGATCTATAAACCAAAATCTAAACCAAAATCTACACTCGAAACAAAATTTTTTCTTGTTTTGAGTTATTTTCTCACTCCTATGCCGTAAAAGCCAACTGCTTTAGGGACTTATTAACCCGTATAAGACCCGTATAAGTATCAGTTGTCAGTAAACTTCTTACACGAAGCAGAGCCAATATCAAAATTCTGTCCAGGTTCCCGACAGGCGTTGCAGATTGCGGTATCACCTTCACTAAATTGCTCCTACAGGGACAACTATTTGTCACATTTGTAAAATATGACGACTGTAGAATTGATCCTTAAAGACCTCGTTAAAGAGTTCAATTGATTTCATTAGATTGAACAGTTCTTCCATTATTGCAATGCTGCTGCAAAGTTCGAAGTATAATGAAGGACGCTTTTATTTGAAAATTCTTGATAAATGCAGTAAGGTGATTAGATTTGATTAATTTATTAGAAATTTATTTGTAATTTCACTTTTGAAATTGACTGAAAATGGTGGTGGAAATTGATATTTCCTCTGAACTCAGAGCATATTGAACATGTTGAAGCAATATTGCTTAATACCAATAAATTTGAAGCAATTTCTATAAATTCACTTACACAATTAAATGATATGTGCAAGTGAAATCAGTGCGAGTCTGCACAATAAATTGTCACAAAAACGACAATTGTATCCTTAAAATAGCTCTTGCATGCAAATGTGATATTTGCTTGAATAATTTGAATGAAAAAGATAAATTATCTGGCGCTACAATATGCGAAATATTCCGCCAGAAGACAAACGGAAATTCAACCACAAATCAAGAATTCTCACACACGGCACAAATGCTCGCACACATAATTTGTGCACATACTGAAGTGCAGAATAGGTCCATGTACCAGAGTGGAACACTAAAATAGTAAAAGAGTGGAACTGCAAACCGAAGCGGAAACCAAACCAAACCAAACCAAACCAAACCAAACAAAACCTAACCAAGCCAACCAACCCAAGCAATCCAACCAACACTTCGCAAATAAAATCAAATAAATTAAACAAAAAATACAGCAAATGAAAAATTTTGAAAATGTTTAGGAAAAATGAATATTTAATTTTTTAATATAAAATAAAATGGAAAGTGAATTATTTTAATTAAATGAAAAAAAAATGTATGAAAGAGGATTGTTTCTCTCTCGATACACTACTCCTTGAAATTGTGCAGTAGGGACTGGGGTGGTTGGCTTTAGTGTCGACCGTAAAGAAATTCGAATCCTTTTACGGCTGACAATCTCGTTAAATGATTATTATTATTCCTGACGATTGTAGCTGCACTTAACTTTTGGCCAAAGAGTAAAAAGCCTATAACAATTACAATGTTAACTGTGATGAGTTGTGGCTGAGTACACCACATACGCTTGATCCTTCGCCACATACACTTGATGCTGAGTGCTGCGTTGGCCAATGCCATAAAGTGAGTTGGGTGAAGTTATCATAAACCGACGAGGCGTAATAATATTCCATTGCAACATACTGCAGAGGACGTTGCAATGTCTAGCTAAATAATGCTTGAAATAACAATGATGATGATAACTGCTTTCATAATCATGATACAGCCAGTTATAATGACCATGAAGTTAATACTGATGTTGATAATGTTAATGTTAATGATTATGTCGCCAGTTGATGATGACGAGCGACCTAGCCGCACATAAATCATTTTACATTAATATCTGCTTAAGTGCATTAAATCGTAGCTCATAGAGAATGCCTTATGCTGCAGACATTATAAGTGCTACAACAACAACAACAACAACAAAACGGAACTCGCAAAAGGATATGAAAACAAATGCACACGCAGTGATGACGATAAGGCAGTTGTAATTCCTTCTGCTATTAAGGACGTGTGCGAGTTAGGCTAAGTTGATGCTAAACCAAATGGGAGATTTTTTCGGATTTTTTACACTGCACACATTTGGCCATTTATCAACACGTATCGACACATCACTACATTATCGGCACAACTTAGAATTTCCCACATTTAGAACGCAACTTAGCCTAACTCGCACACGACCTAAGTAAAATCAAAAACAAAAACAAAAACAAAACCAAAAACAAAAAAATAAAAATAAAAATGTTGAAAGCAAAAGATAATAACAGCAAAGCAAAAGCGGCATTAACAGCAAAAGCTTGGCAGTTATAATTTCGCTGCGGCCAGCAAGTAAATAAGCTAACAAAACACAGCAAAAACAAAACAGAAAAAACAAAAAAAAACAAAAAAAAACAAAAAGCAAAAAATGCTATAATGCAGCAAATCAAAAAGCAAAAGAAGTAGAAGTAATGTCAGCCAGCAAATGCAATAAGAAACAATGAGGCAAATCGCTGTGAAATTGCTGCTAAGCGTTTCGAAATATGAAATGTGCACAAAGTCCCCTTTCTGATCATTCCATGTATATTCTATTTCACAGCAAATGTAAAAGAAAAATTAGTAAATAAATAAAAAAAAAAACGTTGTAGCAAAAATAACAAGTGTGTGAAGTGTGAAAAAATTTATAAAAAGAAAGCGAAAATTTTTTAAAAAAAAAAATTTTTGGTCGAATGCATAATTTTTGCTTTTGTTGCAACAATTTTGTTTCTCATTTCCTTCATTCACTTTATTTTCAGTTCTCACTTTTCATTTGTATTTCTTCATTTTTACTTAAGCATTTCTCATACAGTTTTTTCTTTTTTTTTTTATTCGTTTTCTTTTGACAGATTTTTGGTTTGAACATTTTAAACATTATTTAGCTTCTTGTGGCTTTTGCTTTCACACACACACACACACACACATATATATATATATATATATATATATATATATATATATATATATATATATACAATACACAAACACAAACTTCAACTACACATAAATATACTTTCCGTTTGTGTTAGGCTACAAAAGGATTTACTGCAGCAATAAACGCAGCAAACGCTGCATCGCGTCTGCATATAATGTAAATTTAATAATGTTGCAATAATTTATAGTTCCAAAAAGTAAGCAATAACAACAACAACAACAAGAACAACAGCAACAACTGCAATAGCAGCAACAATAGCAACAGCGGAAGTATCCGTATTATCCGTAGGAGTAGTAGTAGCAGAGCTAAGTTGAATGAAAGTAAACTAAAATGAAATATAAATAAAGTGAAATACTTGCACGTATGCACATACACACATATGCATGTGTCTATCCATTCACACAGACATAACATAACATCCATTCATGCACACATATAAACGCTCATACATAACAGTTGAGTTGAGCATGAAATGCTAACCAAAAATCACATGAGCACAAAATAAGTGTGTTTATGATTTTTTGCTTTGTAGGTGATTTTATGATTTTATGATTTTGTGGAAATGTGAAAAATGTAGAAAATGTGGAAAATGTGAAAAATGTTCTATTAAAAATTGCAAAATATGATTTATTTTAAGTATATTGAGTTTTGTGGCATAAAGAATTGCAATTTATCTTAATGCAATTGCAATTTCCTGCTCTTTATACAGATACAACTACACGTACCCATGCATACACATGTACATAAACGTATGACATAGACACATAGATATTTTAAACCAGTACTGAAAGCAGCATTAGATGTTCGTACAGCAAAATTGCAAAATATTCTGATAAAAGCATTTGCTTTCCTCCTATATGAGCCCGACCCTCCCTCTCCTTTGCCGTGTGTTGCAGTGCTTTTTTCTGTGCTGCTTTATTTGTGTGAAGAAAAATTCAAATCTGTGCGTAAAAGACAAACAGACTTACACTTCCACTTCCACTTCCAGTTCCCCTTCCACTTAGGTCTCAGATGCGGATACAGATATAAATGTGAATGCTCCTGCAGATGCATAAGGTCACATACATTTTAGTGCATTTGCTTTTGGTTTTGATTTTACGAGTATGCTTTGGCATTTGAGTAAAGAGTAAAGTATATTTTAGTTGTGGAATTAATACATTTGGATTAAGTCAAGTGTTGAAAACTAATCAGTTTGTGGTTACAATAATGTCGTAAACGGACACGAACTTCTCATTGTAAATGTACTACTCGAAGACACTGACATGCATATGTTAGTTAGACATTTCATAGTGTATAGATCAAGTTAAGTAGATTTAAGTTGTAGAACTACGAATATTTAAAATTTTTATCTTAGTTGGAATTTAAGCTCCCCCACATAAATGTGAATGCCTACTACAAACAACAAACCTTAACAGAAACAATAGTAAACCTAACACAATTGTATTGTTCAGTTGAAGGATATATCAACTATATTAAATTAATTCATTATAAATAGTAAAGAACTTGTAGACTATCTTATTGTATATTAATTTCCAAGCTGAAATTAATATGGTTAACTTGATTACTAAAAACCCTATCGTTTCTTATCTTTCAGGTGTGTATAATTCACCAAGTAGTGACAAAAGCCACTGAATATCAGTTTTGAATATCAAATACAAATCAATACTGGACTTGTAACGAAACATATTTTTGCAAGTAAAAAATTATTGTAATTAAATTTATTTATTTATTTATGAGAAAAATTTCAATTACACAAATAAATTTCCATAAGCGTATTCCTTATTAAGTGCTACCTCTCCCAATTTTTATTTCAATAAAGATTATAGCTGTATTTAAACCAATGACCGTTTATAACCTCATTCGGCGATACGATCTCTACCAAATATATTCTTATTTTGATGGAAGTTGTACCCGTCACTACTCGTCTAAAAAGAATATATGTTCACGCACTTCACGACGAGGTATTATTTTAATATGTTTCTACATTGTCGTCTTATATGTTGCCTTCGTTTAAATTGAAAGATAGATATTCATTGATATAAGTAGCATTGCAGGCAAAACTACATAGATACCAAATAACACCTGCAAATATATTTCTATAAACGACAACTCTTTTTAAATCAATGAGGTGGTTTCAAACACACTTCTCTAGCGTCTTCGTAAAGCAATTATATCACATAAAGTTTTCTCTTTTTATCAATACCACAAAATACAAACTCATTGTAGGCAGAACACTGTGAAGATCTAGTACACACCACCTATGAAACTGGGTGGTACTAGGAGCCGTTACAGACTGTGCCCATTTATTAACAGTAAAATATTTTCAAATATTATATGCCTCTAAGGCTGGATATGATAATACTTTTATAATTCAAAATGGTCCTTAATATAGAAAATAAATGAGATCAGTTAACAAATATCTGCTTTCCAAAATTACTACTAAGAGGTGAATAAAACTTCATATACTTGATTTTAAATCTAGTTGCTTACATTAAAGTAACTAAAAAAAATTTTTCTTTTTATACAGTCTTCACTTCGTGAAGTCACTGATTGATGAGAGTAATGAAAAATGGAACTAAGGGTCCTCTTTTAATATTTACCAAAATGCAGAATCTCAAAATTCTGTTTTCCAAGTGAACCTCCATTAAAAAAACTTACTTTGTATTTAAAATAGGTCATGCATTAAGTTTTAGTCCATGGAATTATTATTTTGGGATCGTTTAATACTCCTTAATCGAATTCTTAAAGTGTACTAGTACTGAAATGGATGCGGAAGTCACGACTTTTTAATTTTCACTTCTTCAAAATATTCGATCATTTTGTGAAATACTTTTCATACATCTCAAAATTTTTGAAAATATTTGAAAATAATTATTATTAATATTATGTCGCAGTTAAATAATTTCATTAAAAAAGCACATTTATCCATTTTTCAAAACATTTACTCTTTTATGTAATACACTTTAGTTTAACAATTGATTTATTTAGACAAGTTCAAAAATGTTTCAAATATTTGGTACTAACAAATTTGGGGGTATTCGATACTTAAAATGACTTTAAAATATTTTTTTGGGTTGTAAAAACTATAAAATTTTACTTCAAGCTGCATGTCCTCTGTGGAGTTCAAAACATACCATAGTATAATACACTTCTCACGAAAAATACGTACCAGTCAATTTAGTACCTATTCCAACACTTCCAAATTTCTAAATTTAATTAATATTTTAAACTTGCCATTCTTAACATTAAAATTCGAATCCTTCATCATCTTATTTACTACGCCGCCATCACACTCATCATATATGTAGAATATTGTTTGCATTGAATTTTTTTTGGTGGTTTTTAGAATTACCCTTTGTTTTTTCTCTATGACTAGTCAAACAAAGAGTCTTCTCCTTCGCTACTATCAGTGAGGAAGTAAAAGTTGTAAAGACCTTCATCCACCACATCTCTTAAAGTAGCTGCGTCGACTTCATAATCATCACCATAATCAGCTATTCGAGGTAAGACATTAAGATGATGTGAATATTTATTCATGATCAAAATAACCTTTAACTTACCTGAGAAGTAATCATCGAAGTTAAATGAATCTTGGGATACTACAGAATGTGACTCTGATGCGGGTTCTGCAATATTGCTGTTCATTTCATCGCATTCTGCCAGCAATTTTTCATAATGCTTTATAATTGCATCAGGATCGGACCCACCGTTGTCTTCGAACGCAGTTGGTAAACGACCCTTTGCCAATAGTTGTTTCCATAGTTCATATACACGCTGTGCCCGCTGTTGGTTTGTAAGAGTATTCGCCTCTACTGCTGTTGAGTGCGATTGCCCTGGAACTACATATGGAACATTAACACCGTTTATAGCAACCTCATCCTGCATAAATAAGTTGTATTGGCCTTGATGGTGTAAATCAAATACTGGTTCTGCCTCTTCAACTTGGTCTGCATTAGATATTTCGTCAGCAGTATCTACATCTCGCAAAAACTCAGCCATGTATTCATTATTCTCCTCCGGCTGTACATCAATACTCTCGTCATCAGATGGTATAATGGTGTACGCATGTTCCTGTTGGATCCGTGACGGCTGCGATAAACCATTGTAAGTAGTAACTCTAAGCGCCAATTCGACAGCGATCTCATCTGTTATATAATGGTTTAAGATAACACATTCGAAGAGAGTATACTCTGTGATGTGCTGCATTCTATGAATCGCTGCCATATCACACGTAGTTCGTGAAAGAATCTCTCCAATATTGAGCTTATCAAAAATTTTTGCATCGTACAGATTCGGTTCAACGGCTGCATTTATTACAATAACCTGACGAGTAAAAGGCACCAAATTACCTGTATAATACAGCATGCGGCCAAGGCTTGTATTCATGAATTGCTCAGCCTCATTTTGGTTTGATGTGGGGCGTCTATAGCGGCGGGAAAACATTTTAAAACGAAATGATAAAAGAATCTGACGGAAAATTTCTCAAATGAACTAAAATTTTTGGTACAAATTGTTAGGTTGCGCACTCGTAACCAAACCCACTCTGATTTAAACTAGAAATAAATTTTTTGAATATAATTTTCTGACAATATTCTTATACTTTGATAGTCAATGCTAATATGTTCCCATTACGAGTTTGAAAAAAGCACAGAATCAACACAAAAATTTCTTAGGGTTTCCAAGTATGCGCAGAAACATAAAAGGTAATTGGGAACACTTTTTGAACTTTAGGTGTGTTCTTTTGACAAGAAGGCATACACACAGAAACAGCTACGTGTGTTTCGTGGTATGTCAAAAACGAAAACCTACACAAAGATCTAAATCTGCCATTTATTGAAGAAGTTATTTGCTAATATACTCCATTTAGGTGTACCGATCGAGATACACCTGCAACTGCAATACACCGCCTTAAAAGAAAATCATTGATAAATATTATTACTCGTACCCCACCTCAATAGCATTTATGTTAGTATTTTGAGATTCGCAAAATTATTGGCAATTTCTATTTAGAATAAATTTAGAGTATTTAGTTAGATGTTAGACGTTTGGAAACTATTATATAAATGAATTTATTGTATATAAAATCTACTTTAATCTATAATTTTTTGTGTTAATAGTGTTATACATATATAATTGTATTTATAAACCACAAATTTGATTACAATTTTTTTACTTGTCATATGTTCTCTGATTTAGGCAGTGATGCCAAGCTAGTCTTAAGCAACCAGAAGTTGTTTTATTGGAGCATTCATGTCCAAAGAATACACCTTTTATAGACTGGAATATTACTTAGGTCATGAAATTCCATTTTGTGATAGTTTCAAAAAAAATTACACAATCGATCTGTGTGCGATTGTGCTGAATGTAGTCAAAGTGTTGTGCAATAATTTTCCAATTAATTTTGATGCATAAAGAGGCAACTCTGTCTATGACAGCAGTTTGAATTTTGTGCAAAATATTTAAAACGTATAAGTTTTACTTGATAATTTGTACTTTTTTCTTATTTGATAATCTTTCATTGTTTATCTGTTCAGAATAGCCTATAGTTCAGAATAGTTAAAAACCCCAATTTTTATCAGTAAACATTTTATTAGTAATTAATAAGAATTGCTATGCAAATCGTAAAGAAACAATTTGGAAATGAAACATTCCTTTTAAAGGCCCAGTTAGACGGTAGGTAACGTAAAAAATTAAGGAGAAACGAAATGAAAATTTCGCTTTAAATAAAGGCGGTGTTAAGGCTCAGTTAGACGGTAGGTAACGTAAGAAATTAATTCGAAGCGAAATGAACAACTAACCAAACCTGCGTATTTAATAGGAACGAAATAAATAAAAACGGTGTACTTTGTTTATTTCGTTTCTGTCAAACACACAAGTTTGGTTGGCTGTGCGTTTCGCTTTGAATTAATTTCTTACGTTGTTACCTTCTTACGTTAACTGAAACTTAAGGCTGAATTGGCTGTCGGGAACGACACGAAAATAGTGTAAATAGCAGAATGCAAAAAATGTGAATAGCTATGTAAAAACACAAATAACAGTAGTTGAATTTCGATCACCAAATATTTCGCCACAGAGCAATGTAATGCAAATGATCAACGTTTGTATCAGCTGATATAAGATTTCCCCCTCACTTCGCGTCGCATTTTTTTACGAGATGCGATTTACTTTTACATCCACGACCAATGGAATGTATTATTTTCTATAAGGTATGACGGGTCAGCTGATTTCTCATCGCACAATTAATTTAGCCCTTAAAAACGTAAGTAATTCGTATAAGTTTTAGGAAACGCGACTTAGATCATACGAAATTCCTGCAGTTTGACTTACTCGTATAAAAAGTAGTTGAAATGGATGGTGACTGACAAGTACATCTTCATTCATTATGACATTCACAACCTCCTTTTTTTATTGTTAATTTTTTTTAAATTTTTCACTGAAACTTTACTACAACGACTAATGCCCAAGTTCCGATGACAGTTCCGATTCTTGGTGGGTACGTTAATGTTTTGAATACTTTAATCTCTTTTCCAGCGGTGTTTTGTGGTATTTTTTGCTTGCCATTGTGCTAATTTATATTATCCTCTTTTCTGAGTAGTTTTTTTTCAAAATTTTCTATTTGTGGATATAAAGTAAAATAGCTTAAGTTGTTGGCTTCAACGTCATTTAATAAAATCTTTGCAACTTTAAAGTAAATCAGGAAGACGTACGCCTTGTATTGCTTTGTTTGCCTTCGAGTTGCCTAAGGACGTACGTATTGCTGGAAATACACGTAATAATAATAAAAAAACATCAATGTATGTGTAAACGATGTAAGGGTATTTCTGAGAGCATAACCGTTAAGAAAATTTAAACAACAACAACAACACTGTACACATGTGAAGGACCTCACGGAGGATAAAATTGTGGCTATGTGCAAAGGTAATGCCAGAAATTTTCCCTTTCAAGCCATAACGGCGCGTTACATACTCATATACCGCACTTTATGCGGTCCAAGTATGCATACAATTCCATTTCTTAGGCTTTTTGAAGCGCGTGTTTATGTGTGCGTGTATGTATGTATGTGTGTGTGTGTGTGTGTGTGTGTGTGATGTGTACACATGTTTCCTTAGAATATGTTTTAATATGCATGCGTTTGTGAATAGTATCCTTTCCGGCAAAAGTAAGCACCTTAGGGACCATAATAATGTTAAGAATGGTATGTGAAGCCGTTATTTGTTGCGCAGCATAATATAAAATTTTCGCATTCAAAAACAACTACAACAAAAAAAAAAACGAAAAATATGAAAGAATTTCTAAAAATGCGGAAAAGATATTTATTAAACATGGTCATGAAAAACAATTTAAGAACAATTTTAAAGCTTTAAGGCACAATAGCAGAAAACCTCGATACCGCGATTAACTGATTATCCATGTGAAATGTAACATCCAAAAATTAATTAGGTTTAATAGTTTTTCACCTTGATTTATCCTAATGAGTAAGAGTTCGAGTCATCTAAAGAACGCCATTTTTATGTATCAAAAAAATCAAAAAAATCAAACAATATCTAAACAAACTAACAGGGTCTAAGATTCCAAGAGATGAAACTTACTCTGAAACAAGGTTAAAATGTCCCTCGTTCAGTATTTTCGTTCAGTACGAATGAATCTTCTTTTGGCCCAGATTATAGTCGAACAGTGGCAAGGAATGTTGCTCCAAGCAAAGTCGACAGTCTGTCCTCCTCTGTGCTGTGGAGGAGGAATACCTAACCATAAGTTTTAAAAGTGAATCGACATTCTCTTCTTGTAGTAACATAAAACGTTTTTCCGATAGTGACTTAACATACTTCATTTCAAATATATTTTCTATTAGGAATATAATTGCGCATAAACTTATATTCCAATAACTAAGTCATATGACTGATTGAATGATTGAATTGAATAGCTGATCTAGCTGATGGGTTTGTCAGTGGATTTATTAGTTAGCAAACTGCATAGCTTATCATATTCTACAGCATATCATAGTATCCTATCGAAAATCTGCAAGAGACAGCCGAGAAAGCAGTATATACATACAGACGTACAGCTTCACACAGATAAGGTTGCTTTTTCTTCTTTTAGTAAGATTGACTCGGCAATAGATCTTAGGGACGGAAGCCTCAGCTTGTAAGTCTTTATGCCATATGCATATACAATTTTTTTTTGACTATCACCATCGCTGACTATTCAAAGATTGGCGGTTTCGTTATAATATGGGCTGGTTTGAGATATCAGACATTTATTGACATTAAGGTGATGATTTTTCGTTTATGTAAAACGCTATCACAATCTTCTATTTCGATTTAAAAACGGACAGTTTTTTATAAAAGCGGGTACAATGAAAACAGCTAACATTAGTCACAATATGGACTCAGTGTTGCCACCAATTTGAAAGTTATAGCAATCTAAAATAGTATATTTATGTGTATTTTAGATACTTTCTCTATGATATAGACCGTTTTATTTATAATCTAACTGATCTATTCGGATTCAAAAAAGTTACAATTTGGAGGGTCATTTCATAAAGTCTATTGGCTGGCGAGGATGCACAATCACATGTAGCGAAAGGGACAGACAGATATTGTTGTTTCATTTGACCCAGCTATATTGAGTAGTTGTTAACCATAAATATTATAGAGCTTAAGAGCTACATACCTCATTTGATCCAGCTATATTAAGTAGTTATAACCCATAAATATTATAGAACTCGACATCCATGTAAACAAACTTAATTCATGCCTTATTCACGGTTATGTGAAGGGTGTAACAATTACTTCTATACATTGCGTACACTTGTCCTCCATTTTAAATTATATATACTATATAAAACCTGCCATAGGCGTCATTTTCGTTCTCGCTGCCTCGTTTCTTTTTTGGCATAGGCAATGTCATTGGTGCTGGTGCTAGTGCTAGTGCTGGTGCAATTGCGAGTGCAGCGCTGTAGCAACTCTGCTTAGTAGATGCGTTCGTGCAAGGGTTACAGCCTTAACCTAAAAAAACCTGGCACAGTTTAGGGCAAAATATTTTCTACGATTCTTTCTTTAGCATTTTCTTTTAAATTCTTTATTTTATATTTTGTTTTGGGTATAATTTTAAACTTTTTGTTTTTACTTTAAGTGTGGTGGCTCTTGATTTTTTCTGGCTGTTGAGCTTCAAAAGTTGTGTTATTGCAGATGTGCCAAGTCACATGTTGTGCTGCTCTGCTACACTTTTTGAAGTAGTTGGTTGTGCTGATGCTGGCTGCGTTATCCACACATACATATCCTTTTTTGGCATGCCTTAGAGTGGATCTGACAATTAAAAGCACAACGAGGACTGTTAAGCTCTGAATGCAAAGCGCTTAAAAACATTTCATTTTTTTATTTGTGTGAAATGTGGCATGATTTTAGGTGCAAAAATGACACACTGCTTTAAGCAACGGAGAGAAACTAGGCGCAAGGATTAAGTTGATTTTGTAGATATGTTGCATGGTTATTCGTAAGCTTAAAGCAGTAGCACTGTGAAGCAACGAGGTAAGGTAAGGTAACTACCAAATAATTGTTATGAAATGATAATTCAAAAAATGAATGAATGCGA